ATCGACATGTATATCGATGTTCACAGTCGATATGGTCTGTCCGAATCAGCTTATTTTCGGTTTAATCTTGGTTTACTAGGAGTATTCTAGTTCCCCTATAAATACTAAAGTCCTAAAATGGTTAGGCAACTTGGATCTTATTATCTTTCTTCTATTCTTGCACTTAAAACCTTTCCTTTTTCAGCTTTGCTTTGTAAGAACTAGTTTGATTTAATAAAATTTTGTACTTGCCTTTAATCTACTCTTGTTTATTCTGCTTTCTAATCATGTTTAACCATTATTTCTCTTTAGAATTTGTGGTTTTGACTATGGCTAGTGAGTAGTCTTATTTAGGATTTGAGATTAGAGAGGTTTTAGGACTAGATTAGTGATGTCTTGTGCTTAATATGATTGTCTTCTCTCTTCCTCTGTCTCCTTTTCTTGGGGTTTTCCTTCGTCCGCCCCTCCCTCTTCTAAGGGTACCTCTTCTTTATACAAGTCTCCTCCATCCGTCCCTCCCTCTTCTAAAGGTACCTCTTCTTTTATACAAGTCTCCCTCGTCCTGTCCTGTCCGTTCGGTGTGCCAGAAGAGCAGGTGGGTTAGTGGCGCATCAATGATTTGAGAAGTCCGCCAACTGTCCGAGAACAGTACGCTAGGGAGTTGTTGAACGAGCTAGTAGGCTGTGTCAATATCTATGCTGGTTCAGTTGCCATGTGGTGCCATTTTTGGATGCGGTAAAACCCGTCCCAACAACCAGAAAAGACAATGATGTTTATGGAGAGACGAACATACAATTTATACAAAGATGCAGCCCTAGCCTAATAATATTGGGAGCCTTTAGGCAAACAAATTTTTTGAAATCATTAATATGTTAATATATTAATATATGAGGTTACACAAAATTTTAAAATTTTGGGCCTTCTAACATAAATATGTGCAATAAAATTTAAAACTTTAGACTTATATCTAATGAAGCTTCCATTAATAAATACTAATCTAAATTAAAAATATAACTATTGGCTTATTTATTATAAACATGGTCTTATTATATGCAGGATTTTAAAAATAAATGGGTTGGGCCTTGGACAGGGACACCTCTGCCCACCTACCTGGGCTGGGGCTGCAAAGACGATTCGAATGTAACCTAATAAATTGCACTGCTAAATTTATTCAGCGAAAGAAAATTATAATCGCGGATCACAGCGATCGGATGCAGCGACTTGTCACATGAGTCTACGATATGTAAAAAAACAAGTCATGACCGCAAATCAGCAGCCTCTTGTGACTTGGCAAACAAACGCCTCAATAGTCAATACTATTCAAACTAGTGCCTATAATTCTTTCAGTTTCTAAGTTACATTTAATTTTTTAAATTTACTTGTGATATGTGAATATAACTAATTACGAAGCATAAGAAAAAATGATGATATGAGGGATTAACACACTGCATTCAACCTGCTGCTTACATATTGTACTCTAAAAATGGACAAACCCCACCCCCCCCCCCCAAAAAAAAAAAAAATAGGTGAGTAAACAGTTGAGAACCCAGTACACGATTCGTTCAACAAATTCGATATCCAACTCATTGATCCGATGACCAAGGTTCCGACCCAATATGCTAACCCAGGCCAAGTAAAACTTTATAAATACCTCTTCCCCATAAAAGGTTCACACATTTTACTAATTTTCTCTAAATAATAAATATGTGCTCTATCTTTCTAAACATTTAGTATTTTACCTTTTTATGAGACTTTAAGTTTTATCTCTGACCATTTTCTAGACATATCTCCGGTCACAACTGACCAAGATTTCTCACCATCAAACTCTTTGTTTTCTTTTCTATTCTCTAAAAACCCAATCATTCAAAGACCGTTGCAGACCTCTTTCTTCCTTTGGACGGCACCATTTCCTTCCATTTGTTTTGTCCTCAATCTATTTTTAGACGTGCCTCATTTTGATCTTTTTTTCTCTTCGTTTTTTACTTGGGAGTTGAAAGTCATCAGAAAACACCCCACCATTATGTTCTTCGAGCTCTGGCGTTATTAATCATTTTATAGGAAATTTGACTGTGAAAGATTCAGAAAAAACACTAAACCTAATTGTTGAACCAGAAAATCACTACTAGGGTTTGTGATTAATGGTTGTGGGTTTTGGAGAATAAAATCTTTATTAATAGCTCAAAGGCGAAGCAAATACAAGAAATGGCTTAACCGAGAGGTTATGCCGAAGTGAATAAAAAGTATTTAAGCTAAGATTTAGAAAGCTTGGACTCTTTTTATATTGCTCTGCTGCTCTCTAGAATGTATGAGTTGGTCTTCTAGCTCGATGGGGTCCTCTTATTTATAGGAATGGAAGGTCGGTTAAGGCGAGCTCCCTTTCCTTTTCTCCTTCGATGAATATTTCTATATCCGCGATATAGAAATATTCCTTATTCTTTGAAGAATATGAAAAATCTCCTTTATCCTTGAATATTCCTCTGAGTCGATCCGATGTTGCGGGATTTGATGAATATCTTCAAGAGTTTCCCTTTTTCAATTACGTCGGCGCGGTCTCTTCAATCTTGATGGGCTTACTTTATTGCCAGAGAAAACTATTTAGTAAATGTACTCATTTCCCCTCTAACACTAATCAAATCTAACAAATATTTTCTACTTTTTTTCCTTCTTGTTCTTTTTTGTTCATTTTATTACTCATCCAACTGTTTTATCTATGAAAGTTTTGTTATTTTTGCCCTTTTTAAAAAAATATATAAAATCGACAAAGATGCATTAACCGCATATTGAATCAGTAATATCGTGTGAGTAAACATGCTTGTCACGACTATGCCAAGATTATATTTTACAAACCGAAAGAACATATTACATAAGGTTAGGAAGTCATACATTCTATATGTCCCATAGAAACAAGATTCTGCCAGCCATTTCTTTTCGGAAAAAGACCGAGAGTAAGCAAGAGAGAAGAGAGAAATGAGATAGCAAATGTCGAAGAAATGAACAGAAAAATTTGATAAAACAAGAAAAAATTTGACGGTGGCCCACATTTGGTTGTAGAGTCGTAAGATAATATTTTCAATAGATAAATGCAAAATACAATTTTGCCCCTCATAAAAAAAATATTTGACAAAAACTAATTACATGTGTATCCAGTTCCGGCCCAATGATATTAATAGCTCTAGGGCAAAAAAACAATTTGGGCCCTTTAATATGGATATTTAGAATTTTTGAACCCATTAAAATGTTTAAAATTTTTCGGCCCTAGAATATAAAAAAATCAAAATATTTGAGCCATATCTAATATATTATGGGGTAATATTTGAATTAATTGGATTTATATTTTCAAAATAGCCTATTTTTACACTATAAATTTTTGAAATATAAACTGGACTATGGGGCGGACGCACCTCTGCCCATTCCATTTGGGCCGTGACTGCGCATATCAGACCAGTGATAATAAATACGCTTGTGACTACTGTGCCAAGAGAACATATTACAAGAAGTCCTGCATTCTCTATGATCCATAGAATCAGCATTCGGTCAGTCATTTTTCTGAAGTGAGAAAGAGCAAGCTGAGAAATGATATAGTCGTCGGAGGAATAAATACAAAAATCTTGTTGGTATACAAGATTTGGTGGCCATGTTACGCGACAACCTTTTGAAGAGACGAAGGCAACAATACAATTTTCCATTTCACTAAAGAAAAGTCGAAAATTAAAAATATGTTTCAACTATTTATTAAACCGATGAATCGGTGATGTCGTGTGAATAAGCATGTTTGTTGCCATTGTGCCGGTAAAACATATTACAAATAATGAGAACATTTTATATATTGTCAGAAAGTCTTGCATGCTCTACGCCTCATAGAATAGGGATTCAGTCAGCCGTTTCTTTCTAGACTGAGATAGAGGAAGTGACAGAGAGAAGAGAAACAAGATAACTGTCCTTGAAATGAACCCAGAAAAAAAAGATAGAGTGAGTGAGGAAAAAAAAAGTTAGCTGTTGTTAGAGAAATGAATACAAAAAATTTGATGAAAAGAGAAAAATCTCAACAACGGCCAAAATTGATTTGCAAATTTGCGCTACAATTTTCTCAGATTGACGAAAAATATGATTTTTATTGTCATTAAAGAGAAATAAAAATAATTGACAAAAACACATTAATCATGTATCGAACCAGTGATGTCTAATTAATAAAACATTTAGTACCATTGTACCAAAAGAAAATATAATAAAATTTGGAGAACATATTACATATTGTCTGGAAGTGCTGCATTTTTACATCCCATAAAAACAGCATTCGTTTCTTTCCGAAGTAAGACAGAGAGAGAAAGAGGAGATAAATGAGATAGTCGTCGTCATAGAAAAGAACAAAAAAAAATTGAGGGTAGACAAATTTATCTTGCAAAATCACGCGACAATATTTTGAAGAAATGAAGGCAAATATATGATTTGGCCTTTAATTAAAGTAAGAGAAAATTACCTAACATAACTACCATTAAATTTTGTTAATAGTTAAGATAACCCATCAAAATTTATATTGTTCACTTAACCTATTTTGTTATTTTCTTTTTCAATAATTCTAAAATTGCCCCTATAATAATTTGGAAACAAAATTCTTTTTAAGTTATATTATTAAAAGATTTTATTGCTTTTTTATTTTATTACCCTATTAACTAACATAATAAAAGCCTAATTGTATTACCACCTACGCTAGCAACCACATTCTCCATCGACAACTTTTCATCTTCATCATCGCCTGCTTATACTATTTTGTTCTAAAAACTCTTAAAACAATTCTCAATCTAGATTTTATTAGTTATTTTGATTCTTATTATTTATCACCTTAAGTGATTGTTGAATGTTTCATAAGGAAGTGTTCCATGACTGGTTATTATTGTCTTGGAACTGATTTTTTATTTTATTTGCTTACTTAGGATACGAAATTGCATTTGATAATTGGTTTATTCTTTCAGGAGGTAGATTAGTTAAACTTATTTTTTACTAATTGATTCATGTTTTTGTAGGATGTCGAGTCAAACAAACGTGAATTTAGGATTTTCGTTGAGGTTATATTCACTTGGCAATGGGCCAAAACCCAAAAAAGCATCAACCACCATTGTAGGATCGATTTTTTAGAAGAAGTAGAAAATGCTGTTGGAGAAGAAGTTTGGAACAGTATCTGTGGTTCTCCTCTCGGAATAGTTATACGGTTTGCTGAAAATAAGTTCATGTGGTCATCTAAAATCGTCGAACATCTTCTTGTGAATCAACTTGTTTGCAAAGATAGGCAAGAAATGTGGTGCTTGCTTGGTAATACACCGGCTCGGTTTTCTCTTCAGAGTTTCAAAAGATAACGAATTTAAACTGTGCACCTTTTCCTGAGAGTGAGGAAGTTATAGAAACTAAGGTGCATAAAGGGTTGTGGAAGAAATTGAAGGTAAAGAGGAAGAGCCCTTGTCATAGAGAGTTGAAAGGAGCGTTGGAAGATGTTTCTGAATGGTCAATAGAAGAAAAAGTCCGCTTTACGTATTTGTGTATTTTAGCAACAGTCATCATAGGCGAGGATGATAAAAAGGAGCTTTCTTTTGAACTTGCCCATATGGTTTTTGACTTACCCAAATTTGAGAAGTATCCTTGGGGCAGAGAGGCTTTCAAGCGGCTGATTGAATCAGTGAAGCGTATAGATTTGAATGCTAAGTCGTACACAATAGATGGATTCGTACAAACCCTCCAAGTATGGGCTTACATTGTCGTTCCCAGTCTCGGAGCAAAATTTGGTCGTCCAACAAAAGTTGATGGGCCTCCTATTCTGAAATTTAAAGGTTTAAAAGGAAGAAATAACATCGATATCCATGTCGTTTCAGTTGCTGATGAGGAATATGTATTGTTACTTATGTTTTACGTTGATATTGATCAATTTATTTTTCTTTGAGAAATGTTAATATTATATTTGCTTTATACTTTTAGAAGAACATCACGAGTGTTGTTATCAACCAAACGACACCTGTTGTTTGGACTTCTAAAATTGCGGATAAGAAAATTAACACTCTTCTGCAAGTCGTATGTAAAGAAGGAGGTTTAGGAGATGTCACTTGGGTGGAAGCTGTGGAGCATGGATCAAACATCATCCAAACAGAAAAGAATGTAGCAGAAGATGTAGGTGGAAACAATGAAGAGGGAAAAAAAGGAAGTGATGGTAACGCAGGATGAAAGGGACAGATTCGGGCATGAAAAAAATGAAAGCAGACTCAAGCACTATACTTTCTTCTATTGAGTATGCTGAAGCACCACAAATGAGATTAGAATTTGAGAAACAAGCAAAAAAGTTTGAGACTTTAGAGGCGAAAGTAGAAGATATAGGGAAACAACTTCAAGGTTTTGACATAATGCGCTTAAAGTTTGAACTTTTGGAACAAGAAGTGACACTACTGAGAGAGAAGTTAAAGACTAATGAGGTTTGTGTTGCTTGTTTTGAATATTCGGTATAACTTTTATTTCCAGATTTTTGCATCCAAAAGCTAATACATATTTTCTGATATGCATGCAGTGTATTAAAGTACCTCACTTAAAAGATGAAGACATTTCTACAGATGACTTTTTCGCGGACATAAATGGTGTAAGAGACAAAATGGTTGAATCAGTTGAAGAGAGCACGGTAGATGGAAGAATCCCCATGATGAATATTCGAAAAGCACAACCTCAAGAAGCTCCGCCAGTAAAGATAATCGAGCCCACTGCTTCTATTGCAGAAAAGTTTACTAAGAAAAAAATTGGCCAGACTTTAAAGATTATGGAAGTAGACCAAACTAGGATTGTCCGAGATAAAAGCACAAGACTGACGATGTTGGAGCCGGCTCTACAAACACCATTTCAGAGTACTTTACCGATTTTAGGTAACAACAAACAAGTTGACAAGCCTAATGTCGTGATGGGACGTGGATACGATCCATTTGCACCGGTGGATGTGCAAAAAGTTAAGAGTTTGGACGATTGGTTGCATTTAGACGAGTAAGTTATTTTTTTTTCCACATTTTTCATGGTACTAATGTATCAATAATTAGATATTTTTTAGTATACCAACCTTTTCGTTCATGCAGGGATTATCCAATTGGCTCCCAAAACAATGGTGTAGAGTTCTTCAGAGTTCTCAGAACTCCTCAAGAGTGGCTAACTGGAGAGGTTATTGTCACATTTGATTTGTATTTATCTCCATGTTTTCAAAACCAATTTTATTCCTTATAAACCATTTTTGTAACAGCATATTAACAGCGCTACGAATTTGCTGCGTCTGAGATTTATCAAAAATCAAGAAGCGTTCAGAACTGGAAGAATTGCTTTTACTGATACCTATTTTACTACCGGGTGGGCCAAAGGTTATGACGAGTTTCTACAAGCCCATGATGTTCCTATTTTCCCTAATGGAACACATGACTATTGTTCTGGTAAGCTTCCAGCATTTGCAGAAACAAGAAAGAAGTGGAGGACCGAAGTAGATAATATATATGGTGTACTTTACGTGAACGATAACCATTGGATATGATTTTGTTCCTTTTTTGCCATGGTTAAAGATCTACAAAATAAAAGTATTATGATCAACACACAGTGAAATTAGAAAACTTACAAACATAATTAATCAATTCTAACACAAAAGAAAAGATAAGATAAGTTAAGATTTTTGTAAGTTATATGTTTGATTAGAGAACTTACATATGATACGTTTGATTGCTGAGTTTTAATTTGAAAAACGAAAAACGGATCATGAAGAAAAGAAAAGCATGGATATTGGCTTTCAAAAATGGACTTTTCTTTTTCTAAATGGGAACATATTCCTTTATTAATGGGTTGTGACAAATTTTCCTTTATTGATTGTGTTTCTTTTTTAAATTATTTTCTGTTTCTTTTTTAAATAATCAAATTAATTAGTTTTAATTATGTATTTAAGGGCAATATAGGAAAAATGTTTTACAAATACATTGAAATATTTGATCAGGTTATATAAGCAATTTATCATATTTTTGGGGTTATTGTGACAAATCTCCCTTGAAAAAAACATATTAAAGATTGTAAGTTTTGTATTCTCTAAATCTCTTAAATTCAGGATACGATTAGACATTTGTTTTTAAAGTGAGACATATTGGGACGTAATATATAAGCTTAGTGGGCTTCGTATATAACACGATATGGTTTACGTTGTACATCGTCTTATGTTAGCGTATATATATTGTATGTATATATAACATCAATAAGAAGTAAGAAAGCACATTCACAAATTCTACATGGTATCTGTTGAACCAAAAAATCACCACTAGAGTTTGACTAACAGTTGTGGGTTTCAAAGAATAAGATCTTTTTATTAATAGCAAGAAAGCGGAGTAATTACAAAGAAAAGTATAACCTGAAGTTTATGCCGAAGTGAAAAAAGTGTTTGCGAGGTGAACTAGAAAGCATTGGAGTCTCTAGTTTTAGCTCTGCTGCTCTCTAGAATGTATATGTTGTCCTTCTTGGCTTTGAGGTCTTCTTATTTATAGGGATAGGAGGTCGGTTGCTCCGAACTTCTTTTTCTTTTTACCGTTAGTCAATATTTCCATATCTGCGATATGGAAATATCTTTTATTCTCCGAAAAATATAGAAATTATCCCTTATCCTTCAAGTCGATCCGATGTTTCCGGTCTTCGAAAGTTATTCTCAAAAGATTTCCTTTAATCCGAGCTAGGTCAGCACGGTCTTCCTGGTCTTGATGGGCTTAGGTTACTGCTAGAGAAAGCCTTTTAGGAAATGTGTTCATTTCCCCTCTAACAGTAAGTCCCCTCCAGTTCGGCGAGACTGATTGTAAATCAGGTCGACGGACTTCATGAAGTTTTTTTTAGTGGGTTTGATCTTGCAATAAGCGTTAGCTCGTCAAGAGTGTTTCTTCATGGTGGCCAGCTCGGCCCGATCTTTAAGTGGAGTTGATGCGTGGAACTTGGAATTAATTATCAAATACACCCCCTTCTTTTAGGGTTTTGCTTTAAGCAGGAAATGTGAAGGGTTCGCCAAGCGGCGAGATTGCCTGAATCTTGACACGCGTCTTTTTAGGAAACTGTTGATGTTTCTTTTTGATTTTATTACTTACTTTTACTTCTTCGTCTTCTTGCTCCAGATACCTCTTTGCCTTCTTGCTAAAGAAAATTCGTAACTCTCTTCTGTTTTGCGATAATTCTTCTTTCTTATCCGCCGATCTTCTGTTCGCTCTCGTAATCCATTCAGAAATTTTCAAAAATGTCAACTTCGTCTTCGAACTCATCTTTTGATGACGACGAGATTTGTCTCGCCGACCGTGCCAGGCAGGCCTGGATTAGTCCAATTGCTTCCTCTTCTTCTCATTATGGAGAATCCTCGGGTTATCGAGACGAGATCCCGCCAGGTCATCCCGACATAGATTCCGATATAGAGTCAGATAATTTAGAGCCGGAGGGCTTCGAACCAGAAGTTAGGATCGAGGGTCTTCCGCAGAAGATCTCAATGTCGAAGCACAAGACCGGTATTAAGGACAGACAGACCTGGATGACTACGGAAAGACTCCAGGAGCTTCGCTCAAAATGCCGTTTTCCCGAGGGGGTCGAGCTTCTACTTCTCCAGGTTCACAAGAGAGTGACCACACCCCCGGAGGGTTATTTCAGTTCTTACGAGTGCCACTTTGCAGAGTTCGGCCTTCAGTTCCCGATTTTGCTGCTTCTCCATTACTGCGAATGGAGGAAGATGCCGGTGGCGCAGCCGTAATCCGTCATTTCAACAGCCTGGCGGCAGTAGCTCGTGCAGCAATGGTTCCCTTTAACTGGGATATCTTCGAGAGGATATCCATTCTGGAGAAAGGGAGGCTAAACCGTGGGGGGTGGCACCATTTTTATACCATGGTAAAGGAGGGGATCATTGGTGGGGACCCGACAAGTAAGGTCCATGAATGGGACCGGTTTTTTTTTATGTGAAGATTAACGAGTCGTCCATCGGCAGCTTCGAGCTCAATTTGTTCAGGACCTGGAGGTCGTCACCATGTAAGGCGAACTGTCTTTTTATTTTTCTTTTCTCTGGCTAATTTTTGGGTGTTGACGTGTTCTCTCCCTCCCCCCTTTTTTTGTCATGGTAGTGGCAATACGTCTTGGAGATGATCCGTTTGGGTTTGATGTCGACGTCAAGAGGCTGCGCGACCTGAGCCGACAGTTATGGTCCGAGAAGGAGAAAAAGAAGATGGCCAATCCGGCTGAGAAGAGGGCCAAACCTTCCAAAGCTGGTAGATTGCTAGATCGAAGTAATTTTTCAATTTCTTTAATGGTGATGAGGTCTTATTGGTGCGTTTGTTTTTCAGCCGTCAAAAGGACTTCGCAGTCAAAGCCTGAAGAGGCGGGCCGAAAGAAGAGGAAGGTGGCCTCGTCGGCGAATGCAGATGTCCCTGCGAGCTCCCCTGCGAGGAAAAAGAGGACGATTCCCCGGGTCCCACCTATTTTGGTGGATTCCGACGCCGAGCCGGCGGTTGAGAACGAGACTCTCGCTAGGTAAACTTCTGCTTTATTTTATTTTTTTACTTTGTCATGCCGAGAGGATCTCTTTTATTTTTGACACTTCCCTTTTTTTTTAATTTCTCCAGGGCAGCCGCGCTAGAAAGATTGAAATGGGCATGAGCTGAGAAAGCTGCAAGAGGTTCTCAGGGCGAAGCATCCCAAGAAACCGCCTCTCGAGTCGTAGATGGTGGTGATGGGGGTGCTCCCGATGCTGCTGGGAGCTATCTCGAGGTTATTTCCTCACCTCCCAAAGTTGATATTCCCTCGGCGCCTCGGACCGATGTTCCTTCGCCGCCCAGAGTGGATACTCCTAAGAGTCCCAATGTCCAGGACACGGAAGATGCAAGTTGGGAGAGGACCGAAGGGCCTGCTGCGGCTCATTCTGAATGGCCGATTCCTTCCGGAGTTGCTCCGGACACCGATGATGTTGGTCCTAGCGCTCCTGAAGAGGCTGCGCCTTCTCAAAAGGCCCCGAGCACTGATGGTGCCAATCCAAGTGCTCTTGCCGAGCCCAAGAAGAAGGAGGAGTCTTTTGATTACAATCCTCATCATTTTTGCGCGAGATGAGATGGGACCACTCCGGCGATGCTTAACCATGAGTTTTCCGCGAACTTGATCTGGAAGTGCAGGAAGAAACCGCGATGGGGTAAGCTACTTCGAGAGCTGAAGCTGCGAATTCAATATCTTCAGCGAGTCAAATGATAGCTCGGATATTTTTTGTTTATTATTTGGTTGCGAGTGCACTGTGCCCCTTTTATTGCTTGTTTTCTGATAATAGGTTTTGATGCAGGGCTTGGGAACGTATATGTCTGCATTCGCGGCGTATGATGACAATTTTTTCCAAGAGGAGATGATGCTGGACGCCGCTTGTACTGAGATCAAGGAGCATAAAAAGGCGGAAGAGGAGAATCAGCTTATCAAGGAAAGGTGCGCTCAGCTCGAAGCGTTGTTTAGGCCTTTGAGAGTGAGGTGACGGAAGCTTCTCGGCTTCATAAACAGGTGGTTGCCCTCAGCGAGAAGAATAAGTTGCTCGTGAAGCAGAAAGAGGAGAACTCGCAAAGGTTCCTCGCCAAAAAGGAAAAGCTTCGAGAGTCTTATGACGAGATAGCGTGAGGTGTCTCTGATAAGGTCTTTGACGGCATGATCGCTTGGTTCAAGCCGCGACTAGACCGAATTCAAGCGTCGCTGGTTCAGCGCGAGGAGGTAGAGGCAGCCCTTGTGGGCGTAGAGAAGAATAGCTCAATGGTGGCATTTTTAAAGAAAATGCAGGACAAAGGATGGGAGCTCCCTGCCGGAACTCTCCCATCTTTCGAGAGGGAGTTTGCGAATTGGAAGGCGACTAGTGATGCTATCGACGAGATAGTAATTACTGGTGAAGATCTTAACCTTCCGAGCAGATCGGAGATCGACAGCCTGCTGAAGTGAGCTGAGGGACGCCGTACATCGAGCCATTTATCATTACTCTTCTTTTTTTTATTGTTTGTAATATCTTTGACCTTCAGGAAACCTTTTATAATGGAATTTCTTCTTTTATGAATAAGATTTTTCAAAGTTTCGTTGTGCGATAAACTTTTTAGTTCGGAACTGGAAGCAGGATTCCTTTGCCCGTCTTACACCAAACGACGATCAAGATCAAATACCGAGTTCTCAGGATTCACTTCAGCCTGAGAGGTACGATCGAGTGTCGTGCGAGTATTGTCCTCGACTTTCGTCTTATCCACTTCAGAAGTAGTTAAATCAACCCGAAGTATCAAAAGAGTGGTGATCAGCCACTGTTTTTTATTTGTTGTGTTTGCCCTTTCGAACCAAATGTTTGGCCATAACATCGATTCAGCAAAATGCATTCGCATAAGAAAATGTGACTCTACATGCCGAGCTGATTTTCCGAAATAAAAATTTATTAAACTTACAGCTGCACCCGGAGGTTGCTTACCTACCCAAATTGGGATCAAGCCATTCGTAGTTCATTACAATTATTGAATGAGTAGTATCACTCAGGGGCCA